ATATGCCGAATGGGAGTGCTAATTTTTGCTTTAAAGGTGCTTAGCACCTCCAAGCATCCCCTAGTTGCGCCTATGGCGAGCAGCATAAAATTATTCAATTTTTCGACAAACGGCGGATTCCCGCCAATTTTTAATACATCATAAAGTTTTTTTTTTAAAGATAAAAGTCAAAGGAAATTATTTTTTAAAAAAAACATAAAATCTGTTTTTTTTTTTAAGATAATTCCACAAGTCAAAAATTTAGTAACTATGCTGGTAACACAAGCCTTTTCTACATAAAAAAATTGAAAGCATTGACAATTTTACATTGCATTGCCAACTTAATGTCATTTTGACTTTTATCTTTAAAAAAAAAAACACACTTTACTTTAACTTTCCTCAGAAAAGTGTGCAAAATTTGAAAATAGGCATGCGAAATTGTGCAAATTTAGGTGAATCGAGTAGCATAGGAATTTTTCAAGTTTTAGACAAACATGGGGGAACGGTCAAGTTTGCCCCCTTTAAAAAACTGCTCTAGTTTTCGTTGTGTTGCGTGTGTTGTAACCCCAATATTATAGCACAGCAATAATTGTATTAACATTTGATTATTCTTATATTTCTAATTTGTTTTATTGTAACCAATCTATTTTACAGAGAGGCCGACGATGCCTTTGTCGGCCCAATATTATCATACCGACCCGACCTCTTTTATTATATCCCAACTAATAAATAGATTTTAGCACATTCATAAACTTTGTAAAAAGGATAAGTTAATTTTAGGAAACTGTAAAATACCCTTTTTCGAAAGGTCCAAACTTGTCTGCCTGGGTGGCAGATAGTTAGAGAGAAGACATTCAGACTTCAACATTTTAACTAAGTGTCCCCCACTCAACGAGTATTTTAATAAACGAAGCATTTTTATTCAATAACCGAGTTTTAATTATCGAAGTACTCAACATTCGTGGCATCAGCTAATTCCCAATTCTTAACATTGGTAAACCGGTTCCTAACATGTGGGTGTGCAATATTTTAGTCATAGTGTGCCAAATTATTATGCTTTAGTTATTTATTTTTGAAATTTCTTTAATACAGGCGGAAACTTGACCGACCCCAAAATTTACTTGTTGGTAAATAAACCGATCTACTGGAAAATAAATAAATAATTCATAATTCGAAATTAAGCATAAATTTCTAAGTGGCAAATTCGCCAAATATACTGAAAAAAACCTAAAGAAAATGATAGAATAGCATCCATCTATTGTATTCGTTGGTAAATCATAAAATATGTTAGAAAATATGTTTAACTTCTTAATTTCTCTTGGCACGCGTCTGTTTTCCTATGCAAATATTTTGTTCTAATAATTTCATTCAGAGAAGCGGACACGGACGCTGGCCCGCTGGCTGGACGCCGAATCAACAGCACTGACAACTTGGCAACAGTGGGCAATAGACTCGAGCCAGCGTCCATACCGGCAAAAGCCGGCGTCCATGGAGGTATCAAAAATCAGAATACGGACGAGACTTCTAGAGACGTTAGTCTATAATATTCTTTGGAGAGACCTACAGAGTTCCCAAAAATCTCTCCTAGCCCTCTCCGGTGAAATTTTTTAAATTTGAATATGTTCATTGTGTTCTCCTACTTTTGCTCCGTTTTGCTCCATTATCGGCGAGTTTTGCTCCATTACCAGGAATGACCTAGGCCCGTATTCTCAGTCAAACCTCAAATTAAGGACTCCTCGTGACTTGAAGGTCGCCTTGAATAAGGACGCCTTCGTGGTATGCGACTTTGGCATTTCATAGTAGCGAATTATAGAATCCTTATTGAAGGAAACCTTGGCTTAAGTTTTGCAACTGGCAACAACGGTTTCTACGAAATGTCTATTGTTATTAAGTTGTCATTATTAATATATGGTTCTATGCGAAAAAGATAAGATAGCTGTAGAAATAGTGATTTGTCTGTGGAATTTATGCGCAAGTAATTATGGCGTTCAAATACACTGAGACTGAGAAAATGTTCTTGGTTCAGATGGGAGCTCAGCATAGAGTCATAGTTGAAAATAAAAAAATAAGGTTTGTTCGGACTTAGTTCAGATTCAGTTCTGAATTAAACTGAACTTGCACATTTGTTCATAAAGAACATAAATAAACAAATGCGCAAGCGCCCATTATTGTAGGGAAAACAGGGTGCCTGGGATGAAAATTGTATTTCCTTGATCATTTTGTAGATAACCGACAATCATGAAGTTGCTTCGCGATATAAGAATAATAATTGACAAAATAAGAATAATATTACGAAGCGAAATCAATTATTATTAAAAACTAGAAAACGAAAATTATACAGAGTTTAAAAAAAAAGTGTATTAGGTACCGGACTTCGAAAGGTGATACTACATATGAAAATAATGAAAAAAGTTCCTATGAACATATGCCCTAAGATAATTTTTTGTTTTGTGAGTAAACTATCCTCTACCCTTATTGAAACTACCCTTTCGGAATTGTTACGATTTTTTTTACCATCACCATTCGCTTTGGTATCGAAATGTATGCGAGAATACCAAATTTCAAGGAAAATAGTTTAGCACTGATGCAATATTTGTGATTATTCCACTCATGTGTTAGAAATCCCATAAGACATGCGTGTTTTCTCTATAAATTTCACTCGTCCTACGGACTCGTGAAATTATAGAAAACACGCAATCGTGAAAAATTATCGGTAATTTTGAAGCTCTCGTGGTATTATCCCCGAAAATAAATAAAATCTATTATTTTCATTTACCATTTGAAGGGCTGTAACTTCTTCAGGAAGCATCTTCATAGGAACTTTTTTTCTTATTTTTATATGTAGTATTACCCCTCGAAGTCCGGTACCTACACTAATTTTTTTACACCGTGTATATACAATTAATCTATTTATTTTTTGATGTTTCAACTTTCTGTTTCTTTTTCCTCTACCAAATGCGAAGTCTAGCGACCTAAAATACTTTGTTCTTTTGTAATATGTGAGCGAACTTGCCTCTGATGAAGAGGACTTCTTGCTTCGAAACATGTAGAGGGTTTTAACTTGATTAAAGTATTTTGTGGAGGAAGCCTTTGTGTATTCTTTTGGAATTTCAACTCCACTTTGAGAAATGGACTACTTCTTTAATTTAGAATCCTAATGGATTCTGCATGTCTCGATTCTTTAATGTACCTTCTTGGCCTCCGCAGCACAATCCGCGTGTGGCTAAATTCACCAAAATGTTGCAATGCCACGGATGTAGTGATTTATCGACTCACTAATGCATGCTAATGCCTGTTTACTTCAATACTGCTTTTTCTACCATTCCACCACGCTGCCTATACCAGCTGAATTTAGCCACACGCGGTTATCATCATCAGCGACATTTATCTCTGCAAATAAATTTTCCAGCTCATCCATACTAATTACAATACTTAAAATAAACTTTGCACATCAATGAAATACAGTTCACGTACTGTCACCAATAGGTTAGAAAACCAGTCTCAAGGGACCTCTGGACATTCCTCAAGTCAAGGAAGGAAATGTGCCGAAATACGCATGAGCGGCGTAAGGACGCCTTGACAATTTTGACTCTGCAAGACAATTTACTGCCAAGGTCACCTTCAAGGAATCCTCAGCACTCAAGTAGGCACTATGAATACCGGACCTAGAGAGCTCCAAAGAATCTCTTCTTGCCCCCCAGTGAAAATTTTGAAACATGATATTTCGAGTTAGTCCGAAATACTCCGCCTCCAATTTTACACATTCGAGCGAACATAGTTTGGCGCTCTCAAGCTGCTTTCACTTTCCTCGCCTGTTTCCTCTGACGCACCTGTAACTGATTTTCAAGCGTTCGAGTGCAAAGCGCATTGAGTATAATGGGCGTGAAATGCTCGTGCTTCGCACACTGCACCCGAAAGCGGCTCTAGAATGAACTAGACAGCTCCCAGGAGGAGAGATTTTTGGGAGCTCTGTAGGTCTCTCTTGGTAATGGAGCAAAACTCGCTGATAGTGGAGCAAAACTCGGAGAACAAAATGAGCATGATCAAATTTCTGAATTTTCACTGGGGGGGGGCTAGCGTTAATTCAGCCCCCCCCCCCTAATAGGCCACATAGTCTTTCCACTGTAATGGAGCAAAATGGTGCAAAATGAGAGCAAAATTATGGGATAATTTTCATCCAGAAATTTTCTTTGGGGGGGGGGGGGCTAACTTAACTGACCCTAAATAAATATAATATAAATGTTTTTTTTTTCTGGTGTCACATATTTGGAAGTAGTGTTGAAAATGCGTCAACTTGGGGAAATTGTGCACAATCTTGCAAAACTCTGTGATAACTAGATTATTTGCAATAGCCCAGCGAATTCGACAAGAACAAGAGCGAATTATCTAGAGAGTTCTAGAAGCAATGTCGCGCTATAAAACGGAGTCGGCCGTTCAATCCAGAATTTCCTGCTATTATGATAAATTTAAAATTTAGTTTTTGATAATTCAATGTAACTTTGTGATCGTTACTGTACTGTATAAGTCTGTATTGTCTACTGTCCAGTAGGTATATTAGAATAATCATTTTTTGATGATGTTTTTCACGTTCAAATAAATATTCCATAGTTTAATGCCTCAAACTTATTATATAACTTACTTTGATAGTCTTATTTTGAATTCTTAGCCTGTTAAGAACATTGATAGCTCTTTCGGCGTCTTCGGGTCGCTGATAGTTTACAAATGCGTAGCCCAGTGATTGTCCTGTGAACAACAGACTGGATATAGGGTAAAAAAATATACACGAGATACCTATTACTTATACCTCCATAATAGCAGATCAACAAAACTAGCGGAGTTTTATGAAGAAGATGCCACCCACCCGATAAAATCAAAACTATTCGTTCTCCGATATCGCTGACACTTTCCGTTCTCCGTCTATAGATTTTTTTTCCTCTACTCAAATAGAGAAATACGTACCTGTGATTTTGTTTGTAACGAGTTTACATGTCTTCACTACTCCAATACCGGAAAAAAGTGACCTAATCTCGTCCTCTGTCATATTCTCAGGGATATATTTTATTATAAGATTGGTTTTGGATTCCTCCTGTTCACCAGCCACGTTATCGCTTCCACCATTTAGCTGGGCATCTGCATCCAACTCGTCGGACATCATAGTTGCTGGTTTGTCGTCGCTCAAATTAAGAGTAGAGGATTTTTCTGGTGGGTCTTCAATGGTGCTAGCTTGTGTGGGACTGGATTCAGCAAGACTTTCACGGTTGATCTCAAGTTCCTCGTCCATTCCAGTTGACAGTTTCAGTGTCTTTTTTTTTAATATCTGAGAAAAAAAAAAGCTGAAATATTACCAGTATCATAAACAAAAAAAATATGGATAGTTTTTAATGGATAATTAATTGCATCTGTACCAGACTTCTGAGGAATGACACCACTTGCCACTTGCTATTCAAATTCACACCTTTGGTTGAAATTATTTAATTCATGATCCTGATGCAAGTAGCAGCAGCAGAATGTTTCAATCAGCCAAAAGTTTCAAAATGTTACCTCCACTAAATTTCCAAAGAAATATGAAAATTTGAGAGGGGTGCATTCTTTTAAATTAAATTTTTGAAAGTAGACTTTCAAGAATTTTCTAAAAATGTGAATATTGGTACAGGGTGTTCTTAGATAAACTGACACATTTTGCAGGTAAATATCTGTAAAACGAGAAAAGATAACGTAATGCGGTTTGTTCTGAGTGAATAAAAATTTTTTAGGGTTTTTTTTTTTTCACGGTATTTCCGATTCCTGAAATTTGACGAAATTTGGTTTCACAAACATGCGATTTTCTAAAATAAAAATACAGTTTTACCCTGTATATTTTGTCATCGTCATAAAGCCTTACTAAGTTACTTTTCTACTTTCACAAAAATTTATATATTTTTTTGAATATCTTGAAATTTCACCATATAAGGTTTTAATTAGTTAACAAATATTCAAACACAAATTGATTATCGATTTTTTTGCATCTTAGTGAGAAAAAAATCATAATTCCATTTCTAAGTTTGATATCCATTCGCGATTTGTTCTGTTTGATAAAAAGACCATACTGAATAAATCTTGAAAGTTTCAAGTCCCTCTTGATTGCTTTAAGTGTTTTTCAGAAGCTTCCAAATCCAAATGATTTAATAGAAATTCTGTATAATTTCTTTTGCATTTAAGTGAGAAAAAAATTCATATTTCCATTTCTGAGTTCGATATCCAGTCACGGTTTGTTCTGTTTGATAAAAAGATCCTACTCAATAAATCCTGAAAGTTTCAAGTTCCTCTGATAGTCCGAGAGCCAGCACCAAAAAAGTGCAAGAGTTTCATGAAAGCTGAAAATGTAATATAAGCTTGTATTTGTGATGTATATAACTATGCGGGACAAGCTACGCCCACGCACCTTTGAACGTGTAAAAATTTAATCGCGATGAAAGAGTTTCATCATGACAGCTGAAAATTTCTCAATTCATTGTTTATTTGATAAAAAACATGACGGACATGGTCAGATAGCATAGAGTCAGCATGCCTATACAGGGTGGTCCATTTAACTTGAGACAGTCGAAACGGTGCGTTTTTGAAAAAAAAAGTTCAAATAAAAGTTACATGGTATCATGTGGGAAACAAAATGGCGGTACTGATTTTTGACTTTGACAACGTTTTGAAGGTTATTTCAAGGTCAACTCTTTTTTTTTTCAATGGAAATATATTTTTTCTACCAGCGTGCATTTTTTATCACTTTCCCGCACGCATTTTAGTTCCGAAAATGTCACTTTCCCGCACTAGTGCGGGAAAATGTTTTTCCCGCACTAGTGCGGAAAAGTGGCGTTCAGAAGTGTCAGTTTTGTTATTTAATCAAACATTTTATCAATTTTGTCTACTTACATTTTTGCTATTTTAATCCATATCAAAGAATATTATAGACTAACGTCTCTAGAAGTCTCGTCCGTATTCTGATTTTTGATACCTCGATGGACGCCGGCTTTTGCCGGTGTGGGCGCTGGTTCGAGTCTATTGCCCACTGTTGCCAAGTTGTCAGTGCTGTTGATTCAGCGTCCAGCCAGCGAGCCAGCATCCGTGTCTGCTTCTCTGAATGAAGTTATTAAAGTGAAATATTTGCTTTGCGTGCCAAAAGGAATTAGGAAGTTAAGCATATATTTTCTAACATATTTGATAATTTACCAACGAATATCATAGATGGATGCTATTCTATCATTTTCTTTAGGTTTTTTTTTTCAGTATATTTGACAAATTTGCCACTTAGAAATTTATGTTTAATTTCGAATTATGAATTATTTATTTATTTTCCAGTAGATCGGTTTATTTACCAACAAGTAAATTTTGGGGTCGGTCAAGTTTCCGCCTGTATTAAATAAATTTCAAAAATAAATACCTAAACCATAATAATTTTGCACACAACACAACGAAAACTAGAGCATTTTTTTAAACTAGGGGCAAATTTGACCATTCCCCCTTGTTTGTCTAAAACTTGAAAAATTCCTATTCACCTAAATTTGCACAATTTCGCATGACTATTTTCAAATTTTGCACACTTTTCTGGGGAAAGTTAAAGTATGTTTTTATTTTTTAAATAATTCCCCAAGTCAAAAATTCAATAACTATGTTGGCAACACAAGCCTTTTCTACATAAAAAATTTGAAAGCATTGACAATTTTACATTGCATTGCCAACTTAATGTCATTTTGACTTTTATCTTTAAAAAAAAAAACTTTTTCTACAAACGTGTCAAAAATGCAATTTTTAACACCCCCCGTAGCATTAAAAATGTTATTTTATCGCACTAGTGCCATAAAGTCTTTATAGCACTAGTGTTAAAAATGAAACATCAAATTTTGAAAGCGAACGTCAAAAATGTTTGTATTTTTAGTTATTTACATTGATATTAATGGTAAAATTGGAATAACTGACGTAGCCCGATTGGCCGCCTCATCTATATTTTTCAAGGTATCGATGCAATCTTCTCTTTCTTCTGTATTTTGTTGCATTTCTAGCAAAAATAATTACTGACCACGACATACTTTCAAGAAACTGACAAGACATTTAATTACCTGTAAAACAAGGTGCTGGTTGTTTGGATTTTTTGATAAATGTCAAATTCAATAATTTTATGTAGGAAAGATGCTTCCAATTTATTATTCATTGAAAAATCCAATTTGATGACGTCATAATTTAGAAATCTTAGATTTTACTATCACTTTTCCGCGATTGTAAACCCACTTTTCCGCAAATATTACCTCATTTTTTCGCGATTCTTATCTCACTTTTTCACAAATTCACACTCACTTTTTTTGAAATTTTTGACTCATTTTTTTTGCAATTTTACCATCACTTACCGCAATTCTAAATCCACTTTTTCACGATTGTAAATCGACTTTTCTGTAAATATAATCTCATTTTTCCGCGATTCTTGTCTCACTTTTTTTTGCGATGTTATCCTCACTTTTCCGCGATTCATATTTCATTCTCCGCGATTTTATCCTTACTTTTCGTGACTTTATCCTCATTTTTCCGTGAGTCTCATCTTACTTTTCCGCGAGTTTTTTATCATCACTGTCCACGATTTTATCCTCATTTTTCCTCATTTCAAAATTACGAAAATAACGATAATTTTTGAAAAGTTGCAAATATTTACGAGAATTACGTAACATTACGAGAATCACGGAATAACAAAAAATTGCGGAAATTACAAAAATTATGGGAATTGCCAAATATTACGCAAAAGAATTACGAAGTCACTCCAAAATTACGTCAATTATTTAAATATTACTAATTTTTGAAAAGTTACGAAAACTAACAAGACAAATTACGGGAATTACGAAAAATAATAGGAATTTTAAAAATTTACGGAACCTAGTAAAATGACGGAAATTATGAAAATTACGAGAATTGAGAAAAATACAAAAAACTACGAAAATTACAAAAATTACGGGTATTACGAAATATTACGGAAAAGAATTACAAAGTCATTTCAAAATTACGTGAATTACGGTAATTCCCAAAATAACGGAAATCACAATTTTTTGAAATTACGAAAATTACAATAACTTAGAGAGAATTAGAAAATTCCGAATTTTTTCTGGAAATTAGTAAAATTGAAAATTAAAAAATTGAAAATATAAATAATTACTGGAAAAAGCGCGAAAAATTGCGGGAATAACGAAAATTACCAAGTTTTCCAAAAATTGAAAAAAATAACGGGGAATTAGAAAATAACAAGAATTATCTCAGAAATGACACGAATTAAAAAATTTCGAAAATCCCCAAAAAAAAAAATACGGAAATTACCAATTTTCGAAAATTTCAAAAACTTAAAGAAAATTATAAAACTAACGAAATTTTTTTGAGAAATTACGGAAATTAAAAAATTACGAAAATATGTAATGGGAATTACGAAAATTTCGAGTTTTTCGAAAATTGTAAAAACTAAGGGGGTATTAGGAAAATAACGAGAATTATCTGAGAAATGACAGGAATTACAAGATTTCGAAAATTCCCAAAATAAAATACGAAAATTACGGGACTTATATAATTTCAAAATTATGAAAATAACGGAGTTTTCTGAGAAATTACAGGAATTAAAAAATTACGGAAATCTGAAAACTACAGGAATTATGAAAAATACGAAAAAATCACGAGAATTAAAAAAATTGTGACAATTTTCAAAAAATTACGAAAATAACAAGAATTACAAAAAGTTACAGGATTCACGAATTTTCCGAAAATTGCAAAAACTAAGGGGGAATTATGAAATTAACGAGAATTTTTTGAAAAATGACGGGAATTTAAGAATTTTCGAAAATTCCAAGAAAAAAAAAATACGGGAATTACCCATTTTGTGAGAATCACAACAAACTGGGGGGGAATTATAAAGATAACGGAGTTTTTTTGAGAAATTACGGGAATTACAAAATTACGAAAATTTGAGGAACTACAGGAAATATAAAGATTGGAAGAGATAAGGAAAAATCACGAGAATTGCGAAAAAATTACGATAATTTTTGGTAAGTTACGGGATTTATGAAAAAGTTACGGGAATTACGAAAATTACGAGTTTTCCAAGAATTGTAATGACTAAGGAAGAATTATAGAAATAGGGAGAATTATTTGAGAAATTACGGAAATAATGAAAATTCACAATAAAAAATTTTTGAAAATTACGAGAATTACGAATTTTTGAAAGTAACAAAAACTTAGGGGGAATTATAAAATAAGTAGGTAACTGAATATTTTGAGAAATTACAGAAATTAAAAAACTGAGAAACAACAGGAATTATTCAAAAATTACGGGAATTTTGGAAAGTTACGAAAAATTAAGAAAATTAGGTAAAAAGTTATGGGAATTACGAAAATTAGGAGTTTTGCGAAAATTGCAAAAACTAAGGAAAAATTATAAAAATAACGAAATTTATTTGAGAAATAACGGCTTTCAACAATTTTTTTTCGCAATTTAACCTTCACTTTTCCGCAATTTCAAAGTCCAAACTCACTTTCTCGCAATTTCAACAAAATTTTCCGCGAATTTTGCCTCACTTTTCCGTTATTCTTTCCTCATTTTTCAATAAGTATACGCTCACTTTTCAGCGATTTTCGCCTCACATTGCCGCAATTTCAACCTAATTTTTCCATAATCTTTACTTTTGTTTTTCGTATTTATAACCTCATTTTTTCTCGATTATAACCTTGCTTTTCCGCCATTTTTACTCAACTTTTTCGCAATTAGGGAATCCAAGCCACGTGACTTTTGCCAACCAGCCGGCATTTTGAAATTTTTATGAGGTTAGAATACGGGTTTTTACATGTCAACGATGTCAGATTTGAGAACTCATCCCGTGTATTGATAAAGCCTGATACTCATAAAAGCGAAATTCGCTCTTTTTTCAACGTCAAATTGTCGATGCAATGTCAAAAAAGAGCAAATTATGAGTACTAGGCTTAATCCTGCCAATAAAAAACATATGTGTTTTGTTTATTGTTTGCCAACCAGACGCCATTTAGGCCTAATTCCAACATTTCCAACCTCATTTTTCCGTAATTTTTACTTCTATTTTTCGTAATTCCAACGTCACTTTCCAGCAATTTTGACACTCACTTTTTCGCAATTTTTACGAAAAATTACTGGAATTATAAAAATAAAGAGAATTACAAAAATTACAAAAATTATAGGAATTATGAAAATCACGAATTTTTGAAATTATGAAAATTACAAAACTTGGGGAAAATTTAAAAATAACGAAGTTTTTTAAAAATTTAGGAGAATTAAAAATAAGTACAAAAAATTACGGGAATTACGAAAAAATTATGATTTTTGAAGTTATGGGAAAATTACGAAAAAGTTATGGGGGAATTACGAAAATTATGAGTTTTTCGAAAATGCAATAACTAAGGAAAAATTGACTTTTTTAAGCAAAATTCATTTTCTTACATTTTATTTTTTTTCTAGAAAACTGGCAAAAGGATAATTGTGGAAATTTTTCAGAAAAAAGAGGAAAGTGAGGATCTCATTAAAACAAAATTTCAAAATTTTCCAGTAAAAAATCACTTCAGGAAAAATTCTGGAAAATTGACTTATTTAAGCAAAATTAAGGAAAATTCATCCTCTCACATTTCAATTTATTTCTGGAAAACTAATAAAGCAAAAGTTGTGAAATTTTTCCAAGAGAAAAAAGAAAATAAGGAACTCATTATAGGAAAATTTCGAAATTTTCCAGTGAGAAATCACTTGGAAAATCGACTTTTTCAAGTAAAATTAAGGAAAATTCATCCTCTCACATTTTTTTTTTTTGGAAAACTAGCAGAAGCAATTTGACAGTTAACAAGCAATCATAGTCGGAAAGCCAGCGTCAAAAAAGTGCAAGAGTTTCATGAAAGCTGAAAATGTAATATAAGCTTGTATTTGTGATGTATATAACTATACCCGAGTCAGCAAGTGAGGTAGCGGGACAAGCTACGCCCACGCACTTTTGAATGTGTAAAAAAATAATCGCGATGAAAGAGTTTCATGACAGCTGAAAATCTCTCAATCCATTGTTTATTTGATAAAAAACATGACGCACATGGTCAGATAGCATTATGTTAGGACAACTAGAGTCAGCATGCCTATACAGGGTGGTCCATTTAACTTGAGACAGTCTAATATCTCGAAAACGGTGCGTTTTTGAAAAAAAAAGTTCAAATAAAAGTTACATGGTATCATGTGGGAAACAAAATGGCGGTACTGATTTTTGACTTTGACAACGTTTTGAAGGTTATTTCAAGGTCAACTCTTTTTTTTTTTTCAATGGAAATATATTTTTTCTACCAGCGTGCATTTTTTATCACTTTCCCGCACGCATTTTAGTTCCGAACACTAGTGCGGGAACATGTTTTTCCCGCACTAGTACAGAAAAGTGGCGTTCAGAAGTGTCAGTTTTGTTATTTAATCAAACATTTTATCAATTTTGTCTACATACATTTTTGCTATTTTAATCCATATTAATAATTTTTTTTTTTACATTGTATACAGGTATGGTTTTTTTACGTTCCCATGACGCCGTGCGCGAAATCCTACTTTATATATATGCTACTTGTATATATACTTTTTTTTTTTTTTTTTTTTTAAAAAAAAGCTTTATTAATTCCAAGAAAATACAAAGATGATTTTATGCTAGGAACTAGCTTATCTTATAATAATATAAATCTACCCTAAAGAACCCAAAAGATGGCTCCTTGAAATATTTCAACTTAAATTATACATAGTTTGGCACATTGTTTATCACACTCAGAAATCACAGGACTTATCATTATACATATAGGTAATATACTGTACAGGTTCTAGATATATACATATATTAGGAAATACATATTATATGTATTTTGTGTTATTTTAATGTTCTACAATACAAGTTAATATAATATAGTGTTTCAGTCTTTTTTTAAATAGAGTTTTACTGCGGATTGACTTCAAATCCAAAGGCAAGTGGTTGTACAATTTTATTCCTTCACAAAATATTGACTTTTGGCCAGTGTTCGACTTAATTTTTGGACGATACAAATTGTGTCTTTGACGAGTTTGATGGTTATGCACTTCATTTACATTTAAAAATTTGATTTGTGACCTCTTATCTTTCATGATAATATAATGTGTGGACAATAGTATCTTAAATCTATATATATATTTCACATTAAGCATTTTTTTTGAGGAGTATAGCTGTTGGGTAGGGAAGCGTCTTGGCAGTCGATAAATGTTTTTGATGTGGAGGGTCTGCAATGGTTTTAAAAGAGAATTTCCAGCAGTTCCTCAGACCGAAATTAAATAATGTAAATGACTATATATGTGAGCATAATAAAGTTTCTTGCGTAAAGCTAGCCTCAAGAGGTATCCATCTCTATACAAGATTCCTACGAAGGATGCAATTTTTTTCCTTACTCGCTCTATGTGTATTGCCCATGACAATGTACTGTCTATAATGAGTCCCA